TTACTTTTAATCTAAGAAAAATCTCTTGACAATTTTCAATATAGTATATCGTAATTTTGCAACAAAGTAAATAAATTAAGACAAAAAAAAATCAGATTACAAAAATAATTTCCTTTAATTAGGTGTTGGATAACTAACGATTCGTTGGCCCTTAGTCACTAGAAGGACCTGGCTGATAAACGCAGGCTAATTTCAGAGTCCAAAAATAATTGACTCATTCCCACTTTCTCTAAAGGCCAATGGTCATCTTCACCCCCTCCCCCCACCAAAAAAAAAACTAACATTATATAAGCACCCACAAAATTTGCGAAAAGTCAGTATCAGTTTAGTTCAGTAGTCAGTTCAGTCAGTTGCAGTTTCAGTTGCAGTTTCAGTTGCAGTTTTCTTTTTTCATCATAATCATAAAGAATCATAAGGAATCATAAAGAAACCTGTTTAGAATTTACTCGAGGCTGAATATAGCGGAAGAATAAATGAAGGATTGTAACATCTATTAACCTTGTTCACCTCAAACACCGGATATATTCGACATCCATATTATGACCCGCGTAGCCGAACGCATATGTATATGTATATGCCGAATATATGCACACTCGCATAAATGTAGGATCGCGTTATGTGGATAGGCTAAAGTAGCGTTGCTTTACTTCTTATAAAATACAATAAGCTTATACTTATATTATCGGCTACGAAACTAGAGACCCGTTACGGGTACACTCGACTTTTACTTCTTGGACACTATCTTGAAGACCGTGAAGGACTGTCTCGCCCGCGCCCTTGTACCCTTATTTAACACGTTGAGTGCGGCGCCGATTTTGCTATACTTTCCAATCAGGCGGCAGCTAGTGAGCACTTGATGCCGAGCGCTCAAGTATACCGAAGGGTATGAGCAGAAGATTACTTTGTTTCACTTTGTCGTTTGGCCTGTGAGAATGGTACAGCCAATGCACAAATATACAAATTATAAACAGAAGATGATGGGGTGGGGAATGCTAGAAAGGCAAAAAGGCGATCACCAAGAAACGATCAGTCGAAAAAAGCCACGGAAGTGTAAAGATTTACTTTAGCAGAGGGAATTAAATTTTTACAATATATTAATTGTCATTAATAATTTAACCCTTGACAACGCCAGTCTTACGCATCGATGATGATCAAACGAAAAATTCGCTGTCAGTCCCTAGAATCCACACCGTCCAAACGAAAAGTCTACTGTCAGTCCCTAGGGACTGACGCCGCCTGAACGGAAAGTTCACTGTCAGTCCCTAGGGACTGGCGTAGCACTCAACGTGTTAAACCATTCGTTCTGTCCTCATCTATACCCGCGTTCTCTTTCTCAATCGGTCGGTCACGTATCCTAAACACTCAGGCGCATTCATAGTCTTCCACTCGTTTATCGCATTCGGCTCTGTCATAAACATCCCTTACATTCGATCCTCTTGCACGCGGTCACTTTCTTTCCAAGCCCAAACACACTTAACATTCTTTCAGGGCTGTCCTTGTTCCATTCCCACATAAATAGCCCTCTGGAGACGAACGCTGGATATATTCAACATGCACGATGTTTTACTTTATTATTGTACATTATATATTATTCTTTCACTATTTTTAATTATAACGAGATTCTTTGTACGCATTAAATAAGTTTATATCTTTTATGTAGAAATTATGAGTATATCGTTTTAAAGAAAAATTCCTTTTCTTTCAAGATACACTGTCCATGCGTAATGCGTACACTTTTGGCCGGAGGTTCCCGTTCAGTGGTGGCGCTACGGTGGACCGAACCGCCATAGCGAAAGGATTAACCCTTTCGGTACGGAGGAGTTGACCACGGTTCCTACCATTCGTGGTACGAGGAAGTTTTCCACAAGAGTGATTGCACTGGAAGCCACGAAAACGTGTTTTGCGGTATTCATAGAAATCTCGAGCGTGATTGACATTAAACTTTTCATTCGAACCGCGACAGTCATCGGTGACGTTTCGCGGATGCCGCCAATAGGCGACGGTAGTACCCACAGAACGGACGCCAATTTCATGGACGACGCCAATAGGTGGCAGTAGTATCGAAAGGGTGAAAAAAAAAGTTCACTTCAAACAAGTCCTCGCAGCAGGTTTATTACTCTTATTACTTAACACTTTACCGACCGATAGCGCTGCAACGGCATACGTACTTCCGACCGGCCGATTCTCCCTGACGTCGGCTCTGTTTCGGCTTAGACTGTCGCACGGGAGTATCTGTGCGTTTCGTATGCTCAGATAAATTTGTAAAAAAAAACTGATACTAAGGACATAAAACAGTCCTCCACTTGACCTGAGACATTGCGGTCCTAGGGCCGCAACAATGTGGGAGCTTACAAAGCAACGCAACTAACGCAACTGAACAACGTACCAAAAAGCCTAAAAATAGGCTATCGGTCGGTAAGCATCGGCGACCAAAAGCCTATTAATAGGCCTCCGGTCGGTAAAGTGTTAACCGTCTCGTTTTGAAAGTTTAACCACTTTCGCTGAAAAAACGTGTCACGCACGTCGTAATGCTTTTGTCACAGAATCGCCAACGACGTGGTACACACGTCGTTAGGCAATTTTTACAGAAACACTGGACCGTTCTGGCACACGCGTCTGTAAATTTCTTGCCACCGCAAGTGGTTAACCACTTGCGCTACGATTTAACTTTCGGTTGCCGTGCCGCGTTCTACAATATAACATGCGGTAAGGCGTTACATTGACGTGGTATACATGTCGCTGGCGGCTTTGGAACAAAAGCATCACGACGTGCGTGGCACGTCTTTATAGCGCAAGTGGTTAATCCGCCGAAGTACCGTCACGGAACGAAAGTGCGCGTCAGAAATATGCACAATGCGTGTGGTTTCTGTATATTTCTGTACGTTTTCCTAAGTCTTAAATAACAACTGTGCTGAATAAAAGAATCGTATACAGATTGCACTTGTATACGCATCATTTGGATGCCGGATATATGGGGTGCCTGTACCCAGGAGTCATCGCGTGGTTGCCGCCTATAAGCAGCGCTCGAAGCGAAAGGGTTAAGATAAGAAGTACGTTAACTCGATGTAGCAATATATAGCTATAGCGTATAAGAAAAGTTGTACTTGTATATCATAAATTATTTATCAGCCCAAATGAGCAATAATACAAAAATGATCAAAGTAATAGATAAAGAATTAGATAAGTATAACGTACGAATTACAGTTAATAACTATATTTTTGAACATGCAATGTTGATATAAATGTAGGAATAGTAGGTTTGAGAGTGAATGCAGAGGAATCTTGGGCCTACTTAGCTGGTGACGGGGAATAAATAGCAACCTAGGGTTCAGGCCGAATGTTTAGAGCGACGTCTGAAGTACTTACGCGTGGAAGGACAAGTGACCGTGTGCAAGGATCGGATGAAAGGGATATTTACTGTATGGAATGCAAGTGAAGAGTGAAAGACGCCTGAATGTTTAGAGTACATGACCGAGAGCGAGGCTATGGGAAATGCGTGATTGAGAAAGAAAGCTTGAGTATGAAAGAAGACAGAGTGTAAGGTTAAAGTTTGTACTGTAGTGTCGCAGGTTTTCCATCCCGTGTACACGTAGCTTTACAAAAGTCACCGAGAGTTTGAAGGCCAGGTCGGTCGGGAAAGCCCCGGGCGATGCGTCAAGCCCTTATCACGACCATATTTGGTGACGTTGGGGTAGGCATTAGAAAACGTGTGCATGTTGGGAATAGACGTGTAATGAATAAAAGAAGGTTAACACTAGAACTACCGATCTTTAATGGGTGCCTAAGTATAACGTGCACAGATTATAGTAATTTCAGCGATACGATGAATATGAGTGAATATATTGATTACAGTTCTTTCTTAACACTTTACCGACCGGTAGCGTATCAACATCCTATGCCCTTCTCACCGGTCAGTAAATCGCAGATCTTCCCTGGCACCGGCTCTGTTTCGGCTTACAAATAGACTGTCGCGCGGGAATATATGTAATATGGAAATATTACAATATTTCAGAATTTGGTAAAAATATGAGAGCTTAGAAAGTAAAGCAACTAGTATTTCAATACAAAGTAACAAATGCTTGCTAATTGCCATAGTAACCGATTAATCGGCCACCGGTCGGTGAGCGTTGGGGATAGAAAGTCGATTAATTGGCTACCGGTCGGTAAAGTGTTAATATGAGTTGATATCAATTTTATTCTTAAAGCAGATGTATGTGTTTGGTAATTGCAAAAAGGAAAATTCTGGAACCAGTCATTTTGACTGGGTTGGTAGTTCTAGTGTTAAGAGTGGTCAGAACACAGTTCTTGGTGTTGAATTCGTTGTAAACAGTTCGGTGTAGACAGTTTTAGTTGTAAGCGGTTAGTTGTTGCAAACTGAGTTGTTATTGAGTTGTGAAACTGAGTGCTTAAGTTAAGAATCGATATAGATTCGTTCAAAGAGATAATTCGTATGTTTATTCATCACTCACACACTGTTAACCCTTTCGGTACTACTGCCGCCCGTTGGCGGCGGCCATGAAACATTCTCTGGGCACTACTGTCGCCTATTGGCTGCATTTACGAAACGTTCTCTGGGTACTACCGTCGCCTATTGGCGGCAGCCGCGAAACGTCACCGATGACTGTCGCGATCCGAATGAAAAGTTTAGTGCCAATCACGCTCGAGATTTCTATGAATACCGCAAAACACGTTTTCGTGGCTTCCAGTGCAACCATTCTTGTGGAATCTTCCTCGTACCACGAATGTATAATCGCGGCCAGCTCCTCCGTACCGAAAGGGTTAATTTATTATTAAATAAATATATATACACCACCACCAATCCGTCTCTATAGCACTTTACTCTTAAATCTCTTTAGCTCGTAATAAAAATATATTGGAACCAAATAACATCTTTATTCCTTGTATTTCGCCAATCGAAGTATATCCCTACATAAAAATCGTACGAACTTCGACCGGTACCTAGAAAGGCAGAAAAAGTAACTTCCAAACAGTTTACTTACCCAATCTACGAGAACTTCAGCCAAAAGCAACATTATGCAGTCTGGCAAAAGCACTGCGAGGCGTTCCGCTTTCCATGCGTATTCCTTCATTGTTTGAAGATTTACAGCAAGAAGAAGCATCATTAAATGAAAACGTTCCCTCACGTCTGCACAAGACAGTTGAAAGAGATTGTTCTTGTCAAATTTCTTAAAAACAGAACCTTTCAATTCTACAAACTGAAATAGAAGTTCATGCCATTATTATTATTATTATTTGTTGTTCTTCTTACTGTTTGGTTAATTTATTTTCCTTTTTCATTAACCTAGTATAATGCCACGTGGCTTGAAAATATACGATTCCGTATTTTTATTATATTTGTTTATTATTGCACTTCGTTTTGCATTTTATTAACCGCTTGTGCTATGATTTAATTCTAAAAATTTATGAATATAAAAGAGCATTTAATTTTGATTCGTTACTATATATCTATCTTGACGAAAACGAAATTATAAAAGCTTCGAGTATTTGTATCAATTTTACTCATGTTATAACGTTCTTTTTAAAACATTATCAATTTTGTTATTATGAGTTGATTTTTTATTCGTCTTCGTGTAATTTGGCATAAGAAACTCTTAACTAGCTAGACTCGTCATTATAGATCGTTATTTTAGAGTTCAAATTCAAGAAAAATATTGTAATTGAACGTAACTCGTTCTTCTAAAAAATAAATGCAATTTTGCATGTAAAAGGTTAACATTATTCTGTTATTATGCTAATAGTTTTCAATACTACTATTTTCTGTTATTTTTATTATATTTAAACCGTATTATGCATATTTTTATATTTTATTTTCATTTTCGTATTTCTCCCTGTTTTAAAAATAAACTACTTTCTTGTTTCACTAATAACATTGCCAAAATTAAATGTTGTGCATTTTGTTTAAAAATACTACGGTGTAAAATACTACACTGGTGGTACTTATAAATGTTTAAAATATATTTCTATAACTATGTCTAATTTGCAGGATATACATTGAAACTGTAAACAGCACGAATTGTGCAATATCCAATAGCTAAGCAAATAATAGTTGCCAAACCCTAACTTCTATATAAATACTCTCCTTACATGCTATTCCTTATAGTATATTGGATTGTCCAATAAGTGTGTGTAATATCTGTTTTATGATAAGTAAAGTCAAAAAGTAAGTTATGTCTAAACTTTTTTTATTTGCCTTTTCATTTTTCTTATTAATTTTTCTTTCTATTTTTCTTCTTAAATTTAAAGTTACAGCGAAAATTACGATTACACCAAAAATTGTTATATTTTCGACTTATTTTTGAACATGGTAAAACCCTCTCCTCCCATCTGTCTTTTTGATATATGTATATTAGACACATGTTTTAATAGTACTAAAGAACAGGAGAAATTAAATGGACAATCCAATAAACGCTGATTATAGATATTATTTCTATGGTATTAATGTCTTTTCAGTGAAAATCTGCAAAGTAGTGTATTAAATTAATAGTAAAGAAAGACTTACGTTATTTGACATCATTATAGTGAGCAAAGCCTTGTTACTGCTGTTTATAGCCACGTTCAAAGTAGTTGCTTGAAAAAGCACCAATATACTGTGTAATACTGTAAATGTGCATCGGAAAATACAGCAGAAAGTATGACCGAAGAAATTAATTTATAAAATCAATTATTTAATTTCTTGTCTAAACAAATGAATTTTGTACAAATCCGTTTGCAATATTATTTTTACTTTCTAACTTAAACCAAAATTTGCTGAATATTTAAAAATATAATTGCGAAAAATATTCCACAGAAATAAAATAAAATTACAAAGAACTGTGAGTAAAGTTTGATTTGAAAAAATGTTTATAGAAATAATTAGAAACTTTGTATTTCTTATGCCTAAAAGATGCAAAGCTAGAATAAAAACTTATGGAAGAAATACAAAATATTAATACTCTTGTCCATTGGTTGAAATAGTATTTCATTGTGTTTCTTTTCATCTTAAATAAATACCAAAAATTGTTTAAGTTCATTATTCAATAATAGAACATCTTAAATGGAACATATCACAATGAAACACATTAAAATTTAAACAAAGTAATAAATATTTTCAATATAGTAGTTACTTCATATGGTCTAGTATTCCAATCGCGACATTGGCTGTCAATATCTACACTAAAAAGCTAAGACCTACGATAATAACTAACAATTAAAATTGTTAGTTATGAATCAAAACACTGTACAGATGCTAATAAAATTCATGGTAAGTTGAAGAAAATTCATGAAATGAAATAGAAATAGTTCAGAAGGGAAAAAAGTTTCGGAAATTTATAAAAACACACGATTTTCTCCTGCACCAAGTATTTACATATGTAAAGGATACAAACATATGCAACAGCAAATAATAGATGAGGTAGAGTGCCTAAATGTTGAGATCCTGTTTGTGTTCTTGATCTAGGCTCCGTAGCTGTCCATAAAAGGGCATCTATTGTATCTTGGCCAAAAGCGCTAAACAATCTATCCCCGACTTCTAGCATATTATAAAATATATATAGTTTTATTACAGACTGACTTTTGACCAAATGGTACATCATAGAGGTATCAACTTTCCACGTAGCTGCCCAACAGCCGATAACCACGATTCCCTTTAAAAGGTCGCAGATCTCTGCTGGTCTTAGATGCTGCTCTCCAAATCTCATATTACCCCTCTCCTTTCTAGATCATAAATTTATTTTATATTCGACAGAATGTACACGATAAAATTTCAATTATAAGTGAACGAACATTTGCAAGTACAGTTGAACCTCGGTAACTCAAATCTCTGAGACTACAGAATTGCTTATTCCTATCCGCTCAGCTGTGAAAACCTTTACGAATTATTTGTCACGTGTTTAGATACATTATTTTGCTACTGCAGCTCGACTTCTGTGAGTCGAAGTTTACCTCTATCGGTCGAACTTCCCCGTCGGTACCTATATAACTCGAAGTACAGTAACTGTATACAGTTGAGTGAAACGACATAGTGAGGTATAGTGAGCGATATATTGATCAGCTATCTATTAACAAATTAGCACAAACTAAAATTACAGACTTTCCTAAAACATAATGAATAATAGCTCAACATCCATCTTCTTATTTATTTACATATTTTATACACGTTTACATACATATGTATACAAAATATTCATTTGTGAACTTTAAATCCAAATATTATAATAACCACATTTTCGAGACAAATGATAAATACAAAGGTTTCTCGGTTTCAAGAAAGAAATAAAAATATTATTTATTTTTTATTTATTAAACACTTTCAAGATTATTTCAAAAACAACTTTATTTTTTTTTTTTAATAGATCTATATTTCTATTTACAAATTTTGTTATTATTTATTTTACAATTTTGAATTGTTTCCAAGATGCTTAGATTTAAAGTTGCAAATGGACATCCTGTATATAATAAATAATACCTTACAAATTGAATTTTTCTTTTTCAAAACCTCTATATGTAGAATTTTCATTGATTAAACCTCTTCTCTTTTACTTGAAAACTTTAATAAGTTGAAACTTCTATAAAATTTTAGCTTTTTCTTTAAGGTTTGAATTACAGAGGTTCGACTGTATTTGTGAATATTTCTCATTTTATTTATGATTCATTATATACAAATTTATATTATTGAAATTTTTTAATAAAAATTTTAATGACATATCAATGTATAAGTATCTATTTTTTTTTATTTGCATTTATAAAACATACTAATAATGTTTTGTTTACAAGTTACATCCTGTTTATAGAATATATGGAAATACGAGAACCAAAACTGAATACACACTTTACAAAGGTCAAGTTTACACTACTATGACATATTACAAGACTAGTCTAGAAATCAAGATAATAATGTAACTAAATATGATCGTTTTGACCTTGGAAATAAATAGTATACAACAATAAGAAAGTATTAAGCATTATTTTTTTTTAAGTTTAACAAGTAGTAAGATATTTGTCAAAAATTGGTGTTGGTTTTAGTTAAATATTGCTCTATCGTGGAAAGTACCATAAAAGGGGTGATCTATATTATGCTGATTAACTTATGATACACGATGTGTTGGATTAAGTATCTAACTTGTTAATTAATAATTACAGTACAAATTCAACAGTCTGTAGTAAATAGTATACAAATTTCAACAATTTTAATAATACATTTTTAATGCACTTTGTCTTTTATTACAATTCATTATGAAATGAACTACTACCATTACATTTGGAATTTATGATTGTCCAATCACAATCGTATATCACTGTCTTTAATTAACAGATTTTTTTATTACATGCAAGTCAATAAATATTACTTTAATGACTGCTTATTAATTAGATGTCTCAGAACATTCCTAGGTTAAAAAACAGATTGAAATTCTGATAACAAGTTCAACAATATATTAACTCCTTTAAAAAGTTTACACAATATACAATGTAATAAATAGATATATAAAAAACATTGATTGATATACTATATAAAGTTAATAAAGTAGAAGAAATATGGGCCAAATCAATTACATTTTGATAATCCCATTTTTACTAATATAATCGTAAACAATAAAGCACACATTTTTCCTTATTAACTGAAATATCAACACATAGTATGGTAAGTGTGTCTATAAAGACTTTGAGAGAGGAATTAGAATGATCAGATTATTCTTCTTCTCCTCTTATCCCTGTACTGTCTCAAGTCATTTTTAATGCTCCACAGTAAATGTTATATGGGTGAATGTTTGTAATGCTTACTATAAATTGTCTATCTTGTGGAAATTTATGTACTTTAGTTAGGAAAGTGGTATATCAAAAAGTCATATTTTGACAGTAAATTATGATTGATGAAAATACTGGAAATTATGTTTCTTGAAAATGAAAGATGAGGTATTATATCTCATTGACTATTATATTTTATACAAATAAAACAAGTAAAACTAATTACATTTTTCCATAAAAAAGTAAGTTCTTTTATTTTTTAATGGTAAAAAATATACTCTATTTTAAAAAGATTCAAATGCAAATAAATAAATCATTATAAAAGAAATTCGTTTCCAGCACCAGGAATATTTTCTTTCATATCATATAATTTCCATATAAAATATTTTCTTATAAGATGTATATTTCAAAAGTTATTCAGAGTGTTTAAGATATATGATTCATTCTAAATTATGATTTTTAAGCTGATAAGAATTTTTGCATATATAGCCATAAAAAAGTAATTTTTGTTAAAATAGTAGTAATAGTAATAGTAATAGTAGTAGTAATAGTAATTGAATATAACAATTTACATAATTGAAAAATGTATAAAACACAATATTAATATGTACAGAATTATTATACTTAACACAGTTAGGAACTAACATTTTGAAGACTTATTACAAAACAAATTTCAGAAATTACAACATGAATATCCAAAATAGCATATAAACATAGATCATTTATCTATTATTTTGTTTTTAAATCAATATTAACATCAATGTTTTACACATTTCTTCTATTATTTAATTTTGATATCATTTTATTTCTCTGTTTTTTATGGGTATGAACTAATACTAATATCATCACCAACTACATATGTGATGGTGATATTGTCAGTTGTGATTATTTTAAATATGCTAAGTGACAGAAACTTACCTGAAACATTGCCACAGGGGTCTGGTCACTACTGTCCATAATGCCATCATAAATCTTAGTGGTAAAAATGTATAAACAAACAGGAAAGAATCTGCACACTGTAACAGAAATTATATATTTTTTCACAAATATTACATTTATTTTTAACATTTTATTTATGAATTATAATTATATATTTGAATTCCAACATGTAATATATGCACATATGAACATATATGTAAAAGAACATTGATGGTTTTAAAGGTATAAAAAGCAATGATAAATAAACAATTTTAGTACCAGTATATTTGCTTTACAAAACCATTCTAGTTACACTGTATGTTCCATCTAAATGGATATAGTACAATATCTCACAAGCGCTTAAAGTTATGAAAGAAAATATTTTCACAAAAATTGTTTGATATAATTCAGTAGGATATATGGTATTAATGATTTTTTTAGTGAATGGCATGGTAGGAGAGATTTCAAGGTCATGTTAACTTTTTAAGTAAGATCTTGTATTTTTTGTTTGATATTATAATAGCGGATTTCAAGCCAAATACAGTGAGTATACACTTAAAGAGAGCAAACTGTATATGAAATATTTTTCATACCACAGATCTAGTGAAATTATGATTCCTGTTAGATATACACTCTATATAAAAGAAACTAGAATCTAAATTTATATTATAAAGGAAATTAGAATATTATACATACTTGTAAAAATCCATAGGCCATAAATTTTTCAACTTCCCGTGGAATTTTCATAAAGGAGTAAATTTTCTCTCTCCTTGCAGAAAACCTTTCCTCGTCATTTTCTAATTGATAACCTCTAGTTAATTCTGTTCTTAAAAATTGTATTAGGGATACACCTACAATGAAAATAAGAGAAAGATACATTTATTAAAAATTAAATAATTTAATACAAAAAAATAGAAGTTCTTACAAATTGCAGATTTATTTAAATGATAATACTAAAATAAAAGATATGATAAATGTGCATAGTTACAAATAATATTCAAATTTTATCATTTAATACAAAAACAATTTTTAGTTATTTACATTATTATATTTACATACTTATTATTAATCTTAAAATAATTTAGATTTTCTAAATATATCAAACATTATGTATCTGCAAACAATCTAAAATATAAATATTATAAATTTCATTGTAACATTTAGAAAAAATCTTTTATATTTTATTTAAACAAAATTATGCAGAACAATTGCAACAAGTTCTTTTTATCCAAAAAATAGAAGATATTTACCATAAAAAGTATGTTAAATAGACATAATAACTTTTGAATAATTGACAAGTATAACTTTTATGTATGAATATTTATTTATATGTATTTGATGAATAAAAAGTTTAGTTTATATTCCATCTGTATGAAACATAAGAAAACTCTTTATAAGCCTAGTAAATTGCAATTCATTATTTAATAAAAAACAATGAATACAAGGAAATAAACCACTTATTTAAAATTTTTCAATTCTCATAATTTGTTGGAGTTATGAATTTTAATATTAATTATATTAGTTCGTTAAAAAAATTATATTTATAAAGCAATAAATAACTTCAATTTATTCTGATATCTCACACTAAAAACACTGTAAACTTAAATATAATACATAATATAAAATACTATGTATTACAATAAACCATACTTGAAATTTCTAACAATAAATTAATTTTATTATCACGAAAATTTAAGTATATGTTTATTCAGTATTCAAAAATTTATATGTATTATTATCATTACAAATTTATGATATTAAGCACAAAAATAAATTTCTTCAAACAAATGACAGTTAAAGCAGAATTACCTTGTCCTTTTTGCTGATATTTTTTTATATTTACTTGAGTTTTTACATCTTGAACTTTATTACCGTGGCTGTCAAATTGTTTTGTTCCTTTAAATAGTATGTACTTTCTATTACCATATTTTTGAAAAGTTTTATCGGCACTCATTCTGTTCACTCCTTCATTCCTTCTCGCGTTAGTGCATAACCTCAAATTTCTTATTCCATTAAGACTGTTCTGAATCTTAAGTTTCTTGTTTTCTGTTACAATATTTTCAATTATTTGAATTACTGTTTATTATTAACACTTAACTTGTTGGATATGAATTATGCAAATGTTAACTCATGACTATCATCATAAAATATTATATAAATTAAAATCGCGCTATACAAGATATAAACTATAAAAACAATTAATGTATAAATGACATAGGAATAATTTTTTTAACTAGATGTCACTACATACTGTTTACGTCTACTTTTATGACTTTGACCCTTGCATGTCGTGTTTAATTAATTTCTATTATTTCCTTCTTTTCTGCTTCAGTATTATATATTATTCTCCGTCGTATTCGTTTTATTCTAGTTTGTTTTGATTTACATATATTTTATAAAGAATAGATTTTGTCGAACAATATGTAATGTGTCAACAAAATAAACGCAATTTATTTACAAATAAATATTGTTTGAAAAAATGATTTGAACATTGTTAACAAAGAATTTTAAATAAAAAATAGAAACTTATCTAATCAATAATTGATTATTGGTTTGATAAATAGTATCTTAACCTTTAAATGTTTGCAAACTTATCTTTGTGATCTCTACTGATATTACATAAATATTTTATAACATATAAAGAAATTTTCAAAAGTACATAGAACTAAGAACATTTCTATCATATGGAATGTTGTTAATACTATTTAGATTGCTTAAATAAAATCATTTCTTGTTCAAGAAGTAATTCTGAAAGTTTAAATACTTGTGTACAAAATCCTGCATCTATTATTTTTTAATATATATATTATCAATATTGCTATTTGGTTTTTACCTATATTTTACTAATTTAATTATTTATGTAATTTCATTTTTATATTTTTTATTGAACTGAGAAAAAAAATCTGAATTAATTTTCTTAACATATAAGAAAAGTTATTTAGTATATAGGGATAGTTTATTATTGTGTAGTAATTTATGTAAAAATACATCATTCAAACCTAAGTACATGAATGTTAATGTTTTTTAATGTTATACAAAAAACTTGAGAGGTTTATAAATTCATTTGAAATAAGATATCAAATAATATAAAAGTTTGAGATAATTTAATGAAATAATAATGTAAATTCAAACATTACAAAGGACTATTATGTGTGATGTAATATATAATTGTCCAACACCTGTTGATATGTATTAATTTTTTATACAAATAAAAATTGCACAAGTAATTGTAATATATTTATTTCAATGATATTTTTACTTACTTCAAATGATATCTTTAAAATTGTTGAACTATATTTCTAATTATTTCAAAATCTTTCCGCATTGTGTACTATACTCCTTATATTAATTAAGTCATTTCAATAAAATTATTTCAAAAATACTTTCTGTTTTACTTTTGTCTACTTAAATGAAATGAATGTCAATTTTAATTATAAGACTAGTACAATTAATTAGTATTAGATTTGGAGGAAAGATTGAAATACTTAAAATTAAAACAATTTATGTTGTATTTGCGCATATTACAGTTGTATATATATATGCGCATGCGCACAATTGCATACATATTAAACGCTTCTTCAATAGTATCACGTGGTATCTCTAAAGCATCTGTTAAATGTCGTACTGTTGATTTACGTTTAAAATGTTATCGTGTCTCTTTAATGTGATAATAATGATTTATTATAATTACAGTAAAAGAAATTGTTAATAAAACCATGGCACTTATATCTACTGATAAGGTGCAAGACTTTTGTAATATAATGATTAACGTATGTAATATAATAATTCCAGTGACTGTTTTTGTATTAGTTGCGTTTATTTCGATCTTATTTAAAAGGTAAGTAACTTGCACGTATTTTATTGTATGGTAGTTTATATTTTCAAAGTATATATTTAATTTCAATGTTATCTTTTACGTCTGTAGTTCATTGTTATTTTGTAACAAGGTTATCTTATTATTTTATTATCTTTATTTTTTGTGACAAACATAATTTCTTTGATAACTATTTGTTGGAAGGTAAGTTTTTAAATTTTGACCACAATTTATGTAATTTACATAGTTTATTATAAAAACAAATAAGATATTTTATATTTCTAAAATAATTTTATGGTATGTTACTATTTAGGTAAATATAAAAAATAGTTTTCTTCTTACAATATGTATTACAAATAATAATTGGAATATTTAACAATTTTTTTTTGGTAATGAAAGTATAGAGAAATATGATTATTATTATAATTACATGTAATCAAATAATTTGTAAATATTTATCATATTATTATAATTATAAGTTAAAATTAATTATTTCCTGTCTATATTTTCCATGTTGATGCATTGATTGTGCAAATTTTGTTATTAAGACAAAAATAAGAATGATAGAATTTGCTTGAGCATATTGAATAAACAATTAGTGTGCCAAAATTTTAATTAATATATTATTTATAAAAACTAATAATAATATGTATATATTTATGTACATGCAAATATATATAATAAAATAGTGATAACTGTACTTCATAGAAAGATAATTTTGTATTAAAATTACCAATTAGACAAAAAATATAAGATTAGATTACAACAAATACAAGTCAGAATAATATATAATATTATGTTGTCAGCTATGAAAATGTTCTTATATCCAAGTCTTCTATAATATCGATAATAAATTGCAATAATAAGATATCAGATTTGTTTATACATATAAATGAAATCATATGCTTATATTAATTTTTAAAAATACTCTAAAAAACATATTTACTATAAATAGATGGATTGTTTCTAAAACTGAGTGGTTTTTTTTATTATAATGTAAATCAAAGTAAAATATCATTACAATATTGTCACTTTTGTCTGAGTTACTGATTAATATTTAATTTTAATATTTATTTGCAATTTAATGTTTCATAAAAGAATTAATTTTTTGTCATTTGCTTTATTTAAATCTTGATGAAATTAATTTTAAATATTATTCGACAACTTTAGTAAACTACGATATTCATAGTGCTTTCTTTTAAGTATGTTTTCTATAAATCTAGTCTATATTTACAATTATTCTAAATCTATGAAATTATTACTTTAAATTATGATAGTTTTTAGTATTTCTATCAAGCAATATGAAAGACCATATTTGAAAATTTATGCATCTGAATTTTTGACGTTTCATGTATCTTACTGAAAGAATATTGTGCTCTTAAAATGTAATAAAACTAAAATCATATTTTAATCCATTCTTAAGATTTTTACACTTAACGTTCTTATTACTATTTGTGTAATATTCTGTTAATTTTTGGTTTATTTAATTATGAAAATTTTGAAAATATTTCTAAAAATAATTCTAAATTTTTATTTTATTATGAAGGTTTTTATAATGTTTTTATTATTTATTTATTATTGTTTTAAGTATTTATAATTTTTATTGTTTCTTCATATTTATTATTTTTTAAATAAACAAATTTAGCTTTTACATTAATTTGAAAAATTTAAGGAATAAAAATAGGTAGAGATAAATAATCATTAATTTTTGTAGTTCTGAAATCAGAATGTAAATAAGAGACACTTATTTTTGTACAAACATAAAGCAAAGTATGATGTATCTTAGAAAGCTGCGCAGTGCTCTTTCACATTTAGTCATTTTCACATTTGTAATTAAAATATTTATATTAATATGGAAATATTAATAATTTATTACATTCTCAAATTATGAAGTTAAGAAAATTTAAGACATGACAATTAATACAGAAACTTTGTTACCAACACAAATATGGTTATTTATGTACTTTTATGAGTTTAAATTTTAAAAATAGCTACTGAAATATTTAAAGAAATTATTTTAGTATTTGATGATGATTAGTACTATTGGTAATAATACAAAAACAACTTGAGAGATTCAAAATAAATGCATATATAACATGTAAAAATAAATTGCAAAATAGTTGTATTAATATTACTAAGTATATATGTTTGTGAAATATTATTGATGAAAATTTAGGAATATTTTGCAAAGAGCATTCATCATATGAATTATAAGATTTCTTAATTGTAAAACCAGTTCATAATTTTTTATACAAAATGAAATATATATATTTTTATTTATTTTGAACACGTGTTGCACAAATTAACTGAATTAAGAAAATGGAAATCATGTTAAAAACAATTTAGAATTTAATTTAAATATAGTTTTCAAATCAACCAATACAAACAATATAATGTCAACTATTTATCTCAGAATCTACAAATTTGAAAACAAATCAGGTTTGCAATAGCATATAAAATTTTTCTACATTATATTGCGGAAAAATTAATTTGTTTATTTAACATATTTTAAATATATATATCAGCTTTTCATTAATTAGATACAGAATAGTAATAAAGATTTTTCTTACAGAAAAATAAGTTTGTAATATAATAGTTTTATGTCTTAGTGACAGTTATAAAATTTAACATGTAAATGGTAGAAGACAGAATTGCTTATAATGTTTTATTGCTACAACATACTATAAATTATTATTTATATAATGTGTTAAAAATTATGTTGCCATAATACGAGTCAGTAACATTCTTTTGCCTCAGTGAATTTTAAAAGTATTATAGGTATCGTTATTTGTTATATGTTGTTTGAAAGTCAGGTCACAGTGAATTATTATACAGCTTAGAAGATAATTTTGTAGAACAAATGTGACTTGGATTAGTTATTTCTTAATAATCCCACCTTTGCTAATACAATGACAAATAATAGGATACGTGTATTTTTCTTATGGCTAAAATGTGAACATATGTCAAATTCAACATAGCTATGAGTGTTTCAGAAAGAAATTAAGCAGTACATTCAGATTACTTTTCTTGTTCTATCCCATCTTTGCGAATCCTCTGAATTTTCTGTGCATAGTATACATGTATGCGTGGAAGAATTTTTTCTTAGATGAACTTATTTATATACTGATTTCTCACCAGTTTTGATGATATAAAAGATTATATTTTAAACAACTGCTTTCTGTACGAATTATAAGCTGTTGGTCTTGATGTCAGAAATATGAGTAAAATTTTGTTGGTACTACTACAGTAATATCTTCGCGGTAGACGCATTTTTGCCTCGATATTAGACACATAGTCATCCCCACCATTTTCCAGAACATTTCAGTCCAATGAGATCTAGCTTGAGACAGCTGTGAAATTTAAATCCTACCATGTCCGCATAACCACACGAAAACATGCAATAAAAACGGTTGGTTAACTTTTTGTCCCTAATTTTTCCTGCGTGAAAATTTTATCAACATATTGGTGAGATGTTCGCAATTAAAATGAGACCAAATATTCAGATTTGGACTTGAAGAGAAAATATTATTCAATGAATATTAACCCTCTGCACTCGGCGATTTTTTGGCTAAAGAAGAATAGGAGTTCAAAGATTTTTTATAGCTATAAAGCTGATAATATTTTTTTTGAGCAGTAAATAAAAAATCGTATAATAATTAACACGTAGAATTATTTGATTTCAATTACGTTACATTATTTTAAATTTGACATATTAATGAATATCGATTTTCGAAATTTTATCAAATGGCGACTGAAGGGCACCTCTCGAGTGCAAAGGGTTAATAATTAAATATAATACAAAGTGTATCGCGTTTGACCTTATTTTAATTAGGAAACTCTCAATGCAAATATGCTAAAACAATTTTCACAAAAGAAAAAGTGAAATTAAAAAAGTTTTTAAAGTTAATTTCATAAAAAGAATCGTGACAGGTGTCGCATTACGTGTTTCGTTGACCTTTACGATGATAAATAGATGAGGACATAACTCACAACAATCTCGATGATTAATTAGGATGTCGTTTCTTAGAAATATACCTGTATTGATAATGGTCGCGATAGGGACCCGTTGTGTGTCTACTATCGAGGCATTACTATATATACAGGGTGATTCACACGTTAGTGGACTCACCGGTGCATAAATAACATTAAACATCGTAGGGTCTTGTGTCCCTATACGATAATCTGACAAATGTGTCCAGCGACTACATTCGCGTGCGTCTATGCATGAGCAGTTAAATTTCAAGTGAAACTTTTCTGAGAAAAATTTTCTGAACAGATGGTACTATTTTTGCAACTATTAGTAAACGAATCACTCTGTAGAATCTTATCCATAATCCTATCCCTTGGTAAATCTGATTCAAATCATTGATCTCTATCAACCGGAAAACTGTTTACACCAATTATTCTTCGAAGCAATGGCGTATGAATTAGGATAATATTGTCAATTTTTATGCCGAAAACATTAATCAAAAATAAAAATTTTTAGGCTTAAGCCTTATCTCCTCCTTGTAAAATTTAACACAAATTTACCATAATTTTTGGTTGAATGGAATAATTTTATCCCATGCTTAACCTAGAATTAGGTGAGGTTAGAT